AAAAAAAAAAAAAAAAGAACAAAACTATTTATTTATGCCTTCCATGCGCCAGAAAGTTCTTCAGCCAGAATATTCCCATTCTTACGGATTTTGTATTGAAGATGTTGTCCTGTACTTATGTTTGCCCACAGGTGACACTCAAATGTTCTTGACAAAGTGGAATTAGGTTAAAAAGTTGTTCATCCATCTATCCATCCATACCACCAGCCTGAACACGAGACCCCACAGTAACAGAGAGTTTCCTCAAATTATCCACTAACAAATATAAAGCAAAACTAGCTTCAGTCAAAAGGATACTGTAGTCACCTCTTCAACTGTAACTCCCACGTCAATAATGGAAATAAATATATAGATATGGTCTTACCTCAGTAATCTGGGCAACCCGATTGGCTTCATCATCTGTCATTTCTGAGAGGCATTTTGCTATACTGACATACAGCTCTAGATCATTTCTCTGGTAAAGAAAAATCACAAGCACATCAAAATACAATGTAACATAACAGATACATTCTCCGTGTTCTGACGAATTATTAGCTTTACTTCTGTCCATGAACAGCAGCTTATGAGATTTTAATCAAACCAAATATATGTTATCATTTTTAAAAAAACATCTTTCTGGGGCACCTGGCTGGCTCAGTCGGTAGAGCAGGCGACCCTTGATCTCAGGATCATGAGTTCAAGCCCCATGCTGGGCACAGAGCTTACTTTAAAAAAAAACAAAAACCATCTTTCCTATTATTTTATTTGTTTGGCTGTACTTGTTTATTTGTGTGGCTGTACTTTTTCCCCTCTTATCAGAATCCATCATTCCAAACAGATTCTTTTAATTTCTTTGTAAAACTACAATTCAGGAATCTGTTGGGGGAGGGGAAAGGCTAGGATTACGTCACTTGATGTAAGTAAAATACTGGACAATGTGCCCAAAGAGTTTCCAGGTGTAACGTGGAAGCACTTCTGAGCTTGTTTGTCTTCTGCATTTGAGAAGAGGCCCAAGAGCATATTTCCTGGTGTAGCATTGGTTAACCTGCATCTAAGCTTCCTCAAAACCTTGGTTCTAAATATTCAACCTCAATTTAGATCTTGGAAGCAAACCCATTCTTAGTGAAAAAATGTGGTTATTTCTCCTAGCCTACCCACCACATTCTTAAAACATACACCTCCCTGCTTTGCCAAAAGGGCTTTCAAAAGTCCCAAACATAAATTGTCAGGAATGTAAATATTTTTGTTCCTCACCCGAATCTTATTTGGCAGAAGGTCAAAAATTTTCCCAGTAGCTTCAGAGAGCAGACTCCAGAGGTGGTGGGTAGGGCTGGGCAGTTTCATGGCCTGGCTCAGCCCCTGTAAGGCACTCGTGCATAACTCAGGATGGGGAAGTGGGGAAGCAGCTTTAAAAACTGCCACCATTACATTTTCAACAAAGCCCAGGATCTGTTCGTCAGAGACGTGTTTTATCCACAGAGGTGTAGACACCAGGAGGTATTTCTTGATATTCAACTGGAAGCAAAGCAAAAGAGGTCAGAAACAGGCAAGTCTGGGTCTGCAGGGCTCAAAACCTCGAGGTCATCACTGTGTTTGAGGGTAGAATGAGAGAAGAAAGGTTCAAGTTACTTCCTTGCCCCTCATTTCCCCCAGCCTCATGGTCCAGCGGGTCACCAATGCACGCAATGTTGGCTGCCGCTGCAGGGACTTGTGATCCAGGGTGACTCATGTGTATATATGGTAGCTGCCAATCCATCTGTGAACTACCCAGCTGAAGCTGTGGATCTTTTCAGGGAGGGGAATAATATACGGCTTCTCAACGTACATGACAGTTGCTATTCAGTCTTAAAAGGTCACATTCTCTGGCAAGAAAAAAAAAATCCTGAAGATGAAAGGCTCATCTGCAGGAAATCGACTCACCGGAATATCTGATATTATTAATTTCCTCTTCTGGGAAGCATAAGGAAATAAAAAGAACCGGCATGCCAGGACCATTTCTGACCACAGAAGAGCAGCTGAACTTGTGGACATGACCATGGCTTCCTGGAGGTCATGAGAGCTGAAAAGGGGCACGGTTCGAAATAGCTCTGTGCCAGACACATTAAGAGAGGAGGCTGCAACATAAGTATGCTACTAAAGGAGCAGCGAGTCAAAAAGAAGTAGGTCTAAAAAAAAAAAAAAAAACCCGACAAAGCCCAGTAAATTTCATAAAAATAGCAGCATGGTTGCAGGAGTTAGCCGAACGGTTCACTGGAAAGAACATGCCATTCCTGATCTTTTTTGTACATGAGAAGGTACATAATTAAGAAAATGAATTCACAAACTTAATTTGTCCATTAACGTAGATAATAAGTCCACAATCACAGACAAATGCAAAAAAAAAGTAACAGATCTAAAAGGGAAGTGTAAGGATAACTAAATTCTAGAAAGATTTTTGAGGTAAACAAAACAGGCTGTTCGAAGTATACCTGACTCAAAAGGAAGGAGGGGTTCATAGAACAGTGGCTTGGACATAGACTTTGGAGTCAGCCGGACTCACTCCTGTTTATTAGCAATATAAACTTTGTTTAATTGCAATGTGCCTCAGTTTATCAACCTGTAAAATGGAAACAAAAAAATCTACTTCTCAAGAGTGAAATAAGCCGGGCATGAAAGGAATCATATTGTATGATTCCTTTCTAAAGAATTTCTAAAGCTTATATGAAATTGAAATTTATAGGAAAGTCCTCTAACAAAAGGAAAATTTATAGAGATAAAAAGCCAATCAGAGGTAGCCTGGGTCTGAGACTAGGAGTGGGGATTGTCTCCACATTGGCATAATGCAACTTTTTGGGGGTGATGGAAATATTATTGGTGATGGATGAAAATGTATAAATGTACTGAAACTCATCAAATTGTACACTTAACACAGCCATAATTTATGGAATATAAATTATAACTCAAGGTTGTAAAAAAAAAAAAATCGGTCAGAATTGAAGAGAGATTCAGTCTGATGTCTGAAAGTGCTCACTGAGTGCTTACAAGTCGCAAGTACCTAGCAAGTACTGGGTACTGGCAGCTAGATGGGAGGTGCTTGGAGCAGGCAGCTCATGATAATTGTTGACACAGAGGACACAGCCCTCAGTGATGTCCCCCTTCAATTAAAGAGCATCAGAATATGTAGCAGAGCTTAAAAGAAAAAAAAAAAAAAAACAGGATAGGAACTCAAGTTAAAAGACTAAGGAACTAGTATGAGAACTTTGCACTGTTCTCAAGGAATTAAAGCCTCCTGAAGAGTAACAACAAGAGGGCGCCTGGGCGGCTCAGTTGGTTAAGCGACTGCCTTCGGCTCAGGTCATGATCCTGGAGTCCCAGGATCGAGTCCCGCATCGGGCTCCCTGCTCGGCAGGGAGTCTGCTTCTCCCTCTGACCCTCCCCCTTCTCATGCTCGCTCTCTCTCTCTATCTCATTCTGTCTCAAATAAATAAATAAAATCTTAAAAAAAAAAAAAAGAGTAACAACAAGATCATTTAATTTATAATCAATTGGTAAACCTCTAAGGAATCATGGAATGCGGGTGTCTTTTTTTTGGTGGGGGGAGGTCCTAGCTTGGAATATATTCAAAATTATACAGTTTGCCAATTTCATATTTTTAAACCATCTTAGCCCATTTTTCCTACTTAGCCTTAGCCTATACCCTGGAAGGTGCTGGCTCCTTCTCTCCACCATAGACACTGGGCTGGGTCACTTCTTCCTCAGCGCCCTGCTCAAGCCAAACACCCTAGCAGAGATGTTCTACTCTCTTCACCCACCCCTCCCACCTACATCCTCCCAGTGCCTCTAACTTAACGCCCAATAAAACCCTACCAAGCCTTCAAGGCCCACCTGAATTGCTGCCTTTTCTATACGGATTTGCTGTTCTCTTAATACCTACTGAACCAACAGAATGTATATCATATAAATAAGCCTAGGTTTCAGTAACTCCACAATTTTCTAGCTGTATGATCTGGAGAAAGAACTTTAATGTCTCTGACCATCCTCTTCCTTTCTCGTGATCAACGGGAGCTGAAAGCATGAACACCGACAGCGAGGGCAGAGTTCTGAATCACACAATCTCTCCGTCTGCCGGCCAGCTACTGCCAAGCCCCCAGGTTTTACAAAAGCACATCTGCCCACTCTTGACTTCGAGAACATACTCCCAAATGAACGCTCCTCTCCCCCAAGAGAACCATATCCGCCTGTTGCCCAACACCCGTAAAGGCTACATACACTGAGGCCGTGGACCAGCGGCAGCGTCACCCACAGTCCCAAGAGCGCAGCTGCATTCTGGGACGATGGTGCCTGTGTCGTGGCAATTTCAAGGCAGAGCTGCTGTATCTCTTCTCCTGCAAGAGAAGAATATGGATAATACATCTGTTGCTCGGACTCGTTTTCAGGCTTCTGTGTCTCAAATCAAAGCATCTGCTTGTGTGACTTCTCCCACTAACAGAACCTGAATGAACCAAAACATACTTCAAGTGATCTTTCCACTGTGAAGCAAAGAATGTACCCACAGACAGCAGAGCGCTAAGTCTCAGAACTGGCAAGGGCCGTGATCTAGCTCAGGAAATCTCTCTTAGGATGTCCTAAGAAATCCGAAGAACCGAATACTTTCAAAAACTTGAGAAAATTCTGGATAAACTCTCTGTCTCTGTTGGGGGAGGGGAAAGGCTCCCCCCCCCCCCATGCATTCAGCACATAGAGAAATCTGTTTAGATCTGAAAGGACTTAAAAATGTGGCCACATTCTCTAGTGATCCAGTCTCTTTAGTAGCCTGATCCCCATCAGCAGGCGTATTCTCCCAACCAGACCTTTTCTTCTTTTTTCTAAGGAATTTTACTAAAACACAAACATTTTTAATACAGCACACAAAAACAGGGGAGGCTCAGGAGAACATACTTTTCAAATGAAATCTCCAGAAATGTGGTATGGTGACATCGTATCTTATAGAGATATTAGGTTCAAATGAAAGCATTTAAGTGAAAAATTGTGTATAGTCAAAATCATCTCTGAGTATCCTTTCAATTGTACATAAATTATGGTTTACAAATCTTTCTGTATATCATATGTGAGTGAGCACCCTACTGTAAATAATAGAGCACTCACTGCAAATACACACACACACACACTGTTAATATAGCGCTGTTAAAAAAACTATTCTCCCCACTCTTTTTCTTGAGGTGCGTGTGGGGGAGGGGGCAAGTACGTGGGATTAAATTTGCATCTGCTAATTCCATAAAAGAGGTTGCTGTGGATGAATGAGACATGTGCATTCCCTCTGTCTCTCATCACAAAGTATCTGTGGTAAACAGAATCACGGCCCTCAAAGATGCCTACATCCTAATGCCTGGAACCTGTGAATATGTTATGTTAGCTTGCTTGGCAAAGGAACTTCTCAGATGTGATTAAGGTTAAGGACCACTGAGATGGGGAGATTATCCTGGATTATTCAAATGGACCCATTAATCACATGAATCTTTAATGTGGAAAGCCTTGCCTGGTTGTAGAGAACCGGAAAGAAGACAGTGTGAGAAGGTTTTGGCTCTCTGTTGCAGGCTTTGAAGATGAAGAAAGGGGGGGCACAAGCCAAGGAATGCGGGCAGCCTCTAGGAGCTGTAAAAGGGAAAGAAATGGATTCTCTCTGCCTTAGTCTGCTCAGGCTGCTCTAACAAAATATCCCAGACCAGGTGGTTTATAAACAACAGAAATTTGCTTCTCATCGTTCTGATAGCGGGAAGTCCAGGATCAGGGTGCCGGTATGGTTGGGTTCGGGTGGAACCCTTTACCCAGCTGTGGACTACCAACTCCGGCTGTGTGCTCACATTGCGGGAGGGGATAAGGAGCTCTCCAGGGCCTCTCTTTTTTTTTTTTTTTTTAAAGATTTTTTTTTTATTTATTTATTTGAGACAGAGAGATTGAGAGACAGAGAGCATGAGAGGGAGGAGGGTCAGAGGGAGAAGCAGACTCCCC